TATATAAAAAAGCAAAAAACCAAACACCTGTCCTGATTTTTTTTTTTTTTATTTGTTAAAACATGAAAAAAAATGTTTTAGACAAAGAGGCCACTTCTGGAAAATAATACTTTTAATCGAATCAGGAGAAGACTAGTTAAAATCACATAAGTTTTGCGTTTTAAAAAAAGGAAAGCACTAGGATCAGTTATTGGCACTGAGTTACTATTTACAATGAACAGAGGTTTTGCAGTTTACATAACATCAATACAATGCAGTTTTGGAGTCTTTGATTAAGAAAAAACGAGTGTTTTTCTCCTTTTCATCCAGGACATTCAGATTATTAGGACAAGTGGTCATAGGCAAAGGCTGCGGAAGTTCTCAGCTTCAGCCCCTCCCGTGCACGGTGGTGCTGGAAGATGCTGCACTCTGGAGAAGCTGATCACAGAGTTGGAAGCTGAAGGGCAGGTGGGGCCAGGCTGAAAAACACCTGGTAATCGGTGACAGTGTCTGGAGACCAGGGATTTACAGGTTGTCACCGGGCTGGTACTGGGGTTCTGTTGCAGTGAAGTAGTCTTCAAGGAAACCCTGCAAATATTCAAAGGTTGGACGCTCCTCTGGGTCTTTTTTCCAGCAGTGGATCATAAGCTCGTGCAAGGAGATGGGACAGTCCTGAGGACATGGCATCCGATAACCACGTTCTACTTGCTCCAAGACTTCACGGTTATTCATGCCTGTAAAATGCAGAGAAATCCACATTGTTAAATTACAGGCAAATTAACCCTGGTATAACTCAATCTACAATACATATGATTTTCTTGATCAGACAAATTTCTTTTGGTTCAGACAAGTGAAATGAAACCACCCCAATGTCTTGGTTTAGTTCTTCATCTACTGCAAGGTAACCTGGATTATTTTCTTTCCCAGTAGAGGGTTGTAGGATCCAGTGATGAGGAAAATGCTGCTACCATGGTTACCCTCTTGGCTTACTCCCAGTGGGCAGGATTTGGCACTTCCCCTCTCCAACAACTGTAGCCATAAACTATTATGTTAAGTGGTGAAGGAAAATAAACGAATTACAACAAATACTATTCAAAATTCTAGAAATTAAGATAAATTTTTGAAACTCTCACTCTGAGTGTGGGCTTTTCTTGAAGTGCTCTGTGGGGTCATGCTGCAGAGGCTTCAAGGCAAACTCTGCTACTTTAGGCTACCAGGGATGTACCAGCATGCTACCAGCAACGTTACCTTCAAGGTCAGTTCAACAGCTTCCTGCTTCTGCTGATCTGCACTCCCTCAATCTGTATTGGTTACTATTGTTTCAACCACATTCCACTGTTCCAACCCAGACCAGAACAAAATTGCTGAGAAGACAAGTCAAATACCAAGAAAAACAGCTGCACTGCAGAATCATAGCGATCTCTCAAAAGAGGTAAAAGGTTCTATTACTGTCATGCTTGTCTCCAAAAGGCAAGCCATGCCCTTTGCTACCTTGACTTTTCTATGCAGCACCTTCAACCCTTGATTCCTCTGCTGAATTGCTTTTCACCATATGTTAATTGCAGTCAACCTCAACTTTATTTTAAATATCTCTTCCAGGAATTCCTTTGGCACCACAGGCATGCGGAAGTACTTCAGAGGAGGTGCGCGCACTGACTGTGAGCTTTGTGGCTTGCCAGTTGGCAAGCACTGTCTCAGTCCTCTGCTGAAAAATATAGTGGGTCCTGCCAATCATCTCTGCAGGAGAACTAGTAGGGACAATCAAGTTCCTCCATGACCAAAACTAGAAATCAGCACCTTGATGTTGCTCATTCTGTTGGTTAATCCTCCTCCTGGCTTCCACTACACCATTCTTCACTGGGTCTCCTCTACTTTGTTCTTTCAGGGTGTCCTCTTGAAGAATTTTCTTGTCCCACCTTCAGGACCCAGGGGATCATTTCTACCTCATATTTTTGGTAAACTTATTTGTGAGAAATAATTCAAATACCTTCTTCAATACAGACTCATTTGTCTACACCTTAACTAATGGGAATAATATCAGCATTAGGCTGATGACTTAAGCTGTATCCTTGGATTTGGTCTTCACTCTGTGTCCTCACATACTGGCTGTGTTTAATTCTTAAAGATGTTTTGAAAGAATCATCTGCAAAATACAGCCTTTCCTGACCATCCACAAAGGCAGCATCAACCTTCTGGCCTCACTGTTTTGGCATCTTGCTCACATTGTGTTCTCAATATTAGTATTTTAAATTTGTGTTTAGAACAAAAATCTACACTCTTTTTCATATCCCAGTCTTTGAATCAGCTGAATTGCCTCATGTTTTGCTGTGCTTTGCTTCCCTTATGTATCAAAGGGTATGAAAATAGTGTTAGCAGTAACTCATCTTCTGTATATACCTACACCACAAGCAAACTGCATTCTTTGTTTTTGTTTTGGCAGTACCCTTTCTTTTTAAGTACAACATGGGTAGAAGCAACAGCAGCAGAAAAGCTCCTTTCCAAATGAACTAAGATATCAAACGTTTGGTATTTTCATTCAGTGTATTACTCAGTGCTGCAAAGCACGCTCTGAAACTTGATAACGAACTGTATGCTGGAAGAAAAATCCCGAGGAAAGAAAGGGGGGAGGAAAAACATAAACAGCTCTTCATTTCCTCTTAAAAAACAGAAGGATAGAAAAAAGAACATAACAGAGACATTGCTGCCTAACATCAGTCATTTGTTGTTCTGGAAATTCAGTCAAGCCAGGTTTTCTCATCACGGTATAATCCAGGAAAATGGCCTTCCTTTACTTTCTCCTTTCCCCTTCCTCCCAGTAAAACTTAGACATGAAACTAACCCAAGTAATCCTCACGTTCCTTACTGGAATTCATACATCCAGCAAGGGCTGCAGCAGCTAGGATTTGCCAAAGAAATTCTGTTGGTTTTGACATGTGCTGCTAATTTAAAAAAGGAGTTTCAAATACATTTGTTTCAAAATTGCTTGGATTATTATTCAGCTTTATAAAAATAGCAGTGCTCCAGGTATACTTTTTAACCTCTTAAAAGGCCTGTTAGTGTTTACAAACCTATTATCTTGATTTACTTATCTTATGTTACAAATTTTAGTGTTTCTCTTTTGATAGCAGGAGCCTGTTGTATCTGTACTTCTAACAACACAGAGAGAATATTTGAGCAGTCTGTACAACTCCTCTCTCCTAATGAATACCCGAGAGTTTCAACTCTTTTAGTAAATAATAAATGAAATTCTTCTTGCAGTATGCTTCTAGACCCCTTAAAAGTTTATCCTAAAATCCTTAAATCTGTGGAATAAAATACTTAGAAATATTCTCCTGTAGACTACAGCTATTTCACCTGCTTGAAAAATCATGATGTTTCAAGAATTTCCATTTGGACCAAGAAGGTAACATCCAATTTCCAAAAGATGGCTTTTCCATTAGCTTTTTATTCCCTGAGAAGACTGAAAATGAAATGACCTCCCACCATCCAGCTTTATTAATGAAGCCTCCCATAATCTCAGGATGCCACAGGATATGGCCACTTTAATGCTGAGTACAATAAAAATCTAGTGCCCATACGGACGGGGACTGAAATGCAATGCTGCTTGACTTTTACTGGAAAAACTGCAGTAGTAAGACATAAAAGAGAATGTAAAGTTTCCAGTTGTGGCTAAAGAAAACACTGCAATGTGCTCTGGCATGCTCTGAGGAGCTTGATTAGATGGAGCACAGCAGATGTGCAAATAGCACAGATCTGGGCAATGATGATTTTCCAGAAGACAGGAAACATTGCTGTAACTAGGCAGCATCCCCACATCAAAAGCTAATAAGCTATATAGATTACTTTGGGCAACATGAAGTCCAGTGAGGACAGCGATGGTTTTTAAGCCACTTTATTCTTGCTATCTGCTGAGAGATATGCTCCTTCAAGACCCACTGCATGCTTTGAGACCAGTGATCAAACTAATACAGACACAAATGCTTAAAGAAGGACTCTTAAGCAACAGCTCAGCTGTTGCCCATCCCCAGAAATGATGTATTTCAGATTCTCCAAGGACCCTGAGCTGTGCCTCTGCTTGTGTTCAAAGGTTCCTCAGACATGTTGGTCCTTTTCCAGTACATTTGAGAAGATAAAACTGTGTAGTCTTCCATAGGGGCTGGGTCACGTTGGCACTCAGAGCATGCTTTCGAAAGAGAGAGGTACAATGGAGACAGGTTGAATTTTGGGCTTTGTTCAATCTGATCTAGAAGCAGAATTCCTAACTTCCATGGGCAGTCCCAAATTAAAGCCAGAGGTGAGGGCACAGGAATGGGATATGGGACTTAGGCAGGGACTAGGGATGCAGGCACAATAGTGCACCGAAGGGAACAGAAGAGCTGCTCCTAAAGAAAGACAACCTTTGAAGCATAATACTGCTCTTACAGAGTACAACACTAACCTAATTATTTCTCTGCGAAAGTAGTAGCAAGTTTTAAAAATCTGGAAGCTGTGCCACTTCATTTAGAAATTAAGGCCTGAAAACCCCCAACAACTCCTCATCCTCAAAACACGACAAAGCTTGGCTGTCAATATCTGTTCTGGGGTTTGTTTGCTTTTTCTGTTTTGTTTTTGTTCTGAATAAGCTATAGTTTGCTTGGTATAAGAGATGTAACTTTGAGCTACGGCATTTGTGAGTGGAGCTTTCCTGCCTAGGAAGAAACCCACCTAAGTTTATCTGTGCTATGTGCTCAGTATGCATCTCTCTCAACTCTTTAGCTACCATCCATGACGATGGTACACGTACATATGCTGGCTCATTAATGTATACTTGGCCCCAGGCTTGGACAGTACACCATGCACTCTCCTGGCACTTGTGGCTCAGCTTTCCCCAGGGATAAGGAGGCTGAACACAGCTCCCCAGGGACTGCAGACCTGCTTGGAGTCCAACCTCAAAGACCTGCCTGGCCAGAGGATGCATCGTGGTGGCTGTCACACTAGGCATAAAACGTAAATGCTCTTGATATGCTGAGTGCAGCAGAAAGCAGAAGGAGCAAATTCAGAGGTGTTTGTTTAGTGCAGCTGAGATTTTTGCCTATCTGAAAGACAACACGTGAAAAAAAGCCAAATTCTCTGACTACTGCTAGGGAAATGCAGCCTCCTGCTTCTAAACTCCACTAACACCTCTCCCCCAAGCCCCACAACCCTAAACTAAGATACAAAGGGAATTTGTGTAAGGGGAAAGAAACAGAAACTGAAACAGGTCAACTAAGCAGGCTATTTTTTTAAACTTGCCTACTCTTCTGCACGCCTAGTTTTTATTTCCTCATTGTAATATCGAAAATAGAACCTCAATGCCCAGAAAGACAGTGAAAGTTGCTTATTTCAATCTGCTGCCTTGTGAAATGAACGGGAAAGCATTAGGGACGGCTAAGAAAAGCACAAATAAATTACTTATGGTAGCGGTCCATTACATCCATTGACAGCGAAACAGGCTTGGTTGAAGAATGAAGATGAGGACACCTCACCTATGGTAAACTCTTGCTTGTGGGAGCTAGAGGGTCTGAGGCAAAGCTTGGTTATGAACCTGAGCCTGATCTTCATCTCTGCCAGCAAAATCTTCACTGCTCACGTATTCCACCTTTACTCCAGCCTCTCTTCCAAAATGAGGCATCAGGACAGGAACTGGTTGATATATGGGAGACAAGGAATGCCAAGTCCTGTTCCACACAGTCTGTTCCCCTCCCATATATTGCCTGTCACCTTCTGTCCTCCTTGTGCTTCTCCTTCCTTCTACACAAGCTTAAAACAATGCTTGGTTCTCCATGTACATGAAATACAGTGCCCTGTGGGCACGGTTACCACCACAGGACTGGGGTGTGTGCTATAAATAACCTCTCCAGGCATTAAGATCTTGTCAAGCAAGAGAGCAATGCCTTTGTCTGAGGGCCTCTCCGCACTCCCCCCCTGGCCTGCTACAAGCTGTAATCAGGAAGATCAAGACAACATGCCCGCAACTATTTAGGAAACTGGGTATTGCAGCCCAGTGACAGCTCCATGACCCTCTTTGTTTCAAGGCTGACCCTTTCCAGAGCTTGCAAATCCACATGCCTTGGGTGCCAAAGTGGTTGGCAGTGCCTACAAACTGCATTCTCTCACCTATAGGTTGTATATATACTTGGGTAAGGGCGGGCTGAGTCTTGCCTCTCAGAGTGGTTGAACTCCCATCTTTTCCTTCTCACATAAGCCATGCTATGACAGCAGGGAAAGCCCTGTGGGTGCAGCTGAACCCTACTCCCTGCCTCAGACAGGGACTTGAATTCACGAAGTTTTATCCTTTCAGGAGGTACTTCCTTTACCCAGCATGAAGCAGGAGATGGATCATCCTTTCTATGTCAGGGGAAAAAAGAGTCTTTTCTGAGGAGCTCAGGAGGTCTTTGTCACCTTGGGAAGTCTAAGCCCTCTTTTAGCCTACATGCAAAGACAGACCCTTCTGAGAAGGCCCCAGTTCTCCTCCACCATTATCTCAGCCTGTAAAAGCTTTGCCAGTTAGGGAATGAGTATGAACTGAAATCTTGAAAGACTTTGGAAATTCAAATATAAAATAGAGGCTGCCCCTAGGTAAAACTGACAGGAAGGGGAGTGATGGTGATTATGAGAATGGTAAAGGCCTCCAGTATGAGCAGGGTGGGAGTCCCAGTAGGGAGGAAGGGCCCTGGTGTAGAGCTTGGGCAGTGTGTAACCAAGACAGTACGTGACTATCCAGAAAACTGCTGACTCTGTGATATTGTAACACACAAAAATTTGCTTCGAGCTACTTGATGTCTTCCTAGCATGGGTGGGAGAGAGTGAGATGGAAGGACTTTCAGTGTGTGAGGGCTTTATGTAGTGAGGGATGAAGAGGGAGTATGGTGCTGAAAGACCAGAGATGCCATTAGTTGTCTTTGATGTGCTCAAACCGCACGTAATAAAACTGTCCACATTTTCAGGACACAGACTGTGCCTCAGATTTCTGTCATGGGTCGTACAAGAAGTTACGTATTGCAAGCACTTAAACACACATCCAGTGGACTCTTCCTCCTGTGGGGAGGGAAGTGCAAACATCCTCTGCTGCCATGGCCAACAGTGTGTCCACAGTTAGGATGGGGCCACTTTTGCCTGGAAGTATTTTTTCTCTGTGTGTGTGTCTGTGCTCCTGCACATGATAAGAGAGCAGGCTAGTATTCTAGCATGTCTACCCCACCGTCCTGGTTTCAGCTCTGTTTTTTTTTCTCCTTCCCAGTAGCTGGTGCAGTACTGTGTTTTGGCTTTAGTCTGAGAACAATGCTCATGTTTTAGTTTTTGATAAGTAGCTTACCCTGATCAAGGACTTTTCAGTCTCTCATGCTCTGCCAGGGAGGAGTGGAAGCCAGGAGGAAGCAGAGACAGGACACCTGACCCAAACTGGCCAAAGGGGTATTCCATACCACAGCACGTCATGCCCAGTATATAAACTGGGGGGAGTTACCTGGAAGGTCCAGATCGCTGCTCGGGTCGGGCTGGGTATTGGTCGGTGGGAGGTGAGCAATTGTATTGTGAGAAATTGTATTGTGCATCACTTGTGTTTATTGTTTTCTTTCCCTTTTCCCTTTTAGTTTTATATTCTCTCCCCTTATTTCACTTATTATTATTACTAGTAGTAGTTGTATTATATTATACTTTAGTTATTAAACTGTTTTTATCTCAACCCATGGGGTTTACAATCTTTCAATTCTCCTCCCAATCCCATCCAGAGGGGTGAAGGGGAGGGTGAGTGAACGGCTGCATGGTGCTGAGTTACTGGCTGGGCTTAAACCATGACACCCACCAATGTGGAGCTCGGGGGAAAAAACCCTGAACACCTTAACTCTGCCATGGCTGGCATCCTGTGCATCCACTCTGCTGGTAGTGACTAGGAATTTCCTCTTCCTGCAGCCCAGCAAGGAGCGTTGCCCACCCTCTGGGAGCACCACCATATCAGCTAAGTCTCACACATCCTCTTTCTGTCTTAACCTTTGCACACTGTGCCATGTCTGCATTTAACCCTCAATAAACCCATGGAAACCGTGGCTTTCCTACACCATTGCCAATAATCCTCCTGACAAAAAGACCTTTGTGCCCTCTACTGACACAGCCACTCCGTGTTGGTGGCAACACCCGCTTTTCTTTAACTGCATGGGAAGTGCTGGGCAGAGGGACTCATCCACCCCACAGAAACGTCTTGCTTTCTGCTACCTCATTCTGTTGTCACAGTCACAGCTTTGCTAAGCTGCTCCCTGTTACTCACGCCAAAATTCACTGCTGATGATGAGAAGCCTCCCAGTCCCCATATTCCTGTCACAAATGTCAGCTGCTAACTGCTAGGCACAGGCAAAGTTGAAATTCCTGGTAAAACTCTGGGAGTTTTGTTTTGCTGAGTTCAACCTTCTGAAGTGGTGTGAGATATCACAGGATGAACTGAACTCCACTTTGATGCTTCTCCTGTGCAATTTGGAGTATAGATCTGACTGCTTGATCACCTCACAGACTGGCAAATTGAAACTGCTTTAGGGCACTTTCCACTAAATCAGCTGCAGCACACACAGCTGTACAGTGGTAATTAGAGAAAATCCAGTGGTATTTAGACATTTTTATTTTTTTTTAATAAAAAGAATAAAGATGCAGCTGGATGCCCCGTTGCTAGTATCTGTGCTGATAAGAAAATGAAGGGATTAAATGGTTTTCCATGTATTGCATTGCTTTCACCTCAATGCTTTCCTCTTCACCTGAATGCCTACAATCTTCAGGGGGGCACAGAACGAAAAGCTCCTTCTGCATAGGCAGATCCAATCACCTCTCCTACAAATCTTAATCCATTGGATACTTGGCAGGGTTTCAACAAAGAACCATGGGGCCTCCAGTTCCCCCATGCAGAGAATCTGGCCCCGCTGTGACCCTACCATGAGCTCTGGCCTGCATGTTACAGAATTACTTTCTATCCTTTTCATCCATCTCAAAAGCAATGACTGAAATTTAAGAGTTTATAAAAAAGAGATTTGGTAATTCCAGACGTTCAGACAGTCATCAAACCTTGCAGAGAAACAGACTGACAGAATAAATGGAGTAATGCCGCTCTGGGAGTTTAACTGTTGATATCTTAAAGTGAATGCAATACTATAGAGAATTATTTGCTCCGCAGCATAGTAATTTTACATTGCTTTCATTATCTGGCTGGGAAGTATATTAATTGAAATGTGAACTATTAAAAAAATAAGAAATGAATATGTTGGATTTTCTATTCTCTTGTCATTTTACCGTGACCATCACACAGCAGCTATCAGAATCAGGACCATTTTCAAGCGTACACAGAACTTATGCGTGATAACCATCCTTCTTTCAGCCCAGTGAAAATAAATACACATTCCAAGTTGAGCATATGGCTTGTTCCCACTACTTTCCCCAGGTGAAGCAGGGCTCAGACTGTTTTCTTACCTGGGTATGGCACTCTCCCTTTTGTTACCAGCTCTGTCAGTAGGATCCCAAACGACCACACATCTGACTTTATTGTGAACCTTCCATACAAGGCTGCTTCTGGTGCAGTCCATTTAATGGGAAACTTTGCACCTAATAAAAGAATAAATGAGTCTTAATCAGAATAGAAACAGAATCAAAGTACCAGTTCATAGGTGACTGCTGTCTTCTACAGCATGTGCAGCTGGACAGAGCTGCAGCCGAGTGAGTGTTAACAAACAGCTCCATGGAGTACAGTTGGAGAGGACATGTGGGTGGAACATGTAGGGCAGAAGGAAAGACTTAGCAGGGAAGGGGTGGGTTTGTCTCACACCCCAAGAGATGGCTAAGACATTTTAATTCAGGTTTGAAGTTTTACAAAATGGAAAAAAAAAAGGTTAAAAAAAGCACGCCAAATATAATAGAAATTCTTTCTCCCAGAATGTTTTAAATTAACATGTCCTTGAGATATTTGCAAGTCAAACACAGTTAGGACGTACAAATTGAAGTGGGATTTGTTGAAAATGTACCTCCCGGTTTCACTGCTCAAGCTGAGCAAAATGCAAAACAAACAAACAAACATGGTAAAAACATAAATTAAAACCAAACCTAATATTTCACGAGAAACATGCAAGGACTTAAAAATAATACTGCCATTTCAGTTGCTTGGAGTGCAGTGATGTCAAGGCACAACTCTGGCCTGTGATTTATAACCTGACAGTGTACTTTAAACTCCTGGCACTGAAAAGCCTGCAGTGCCTTAAATACGTGCAGTTCTAATGTGCTCATCCATCATCAGAGCTTGCAGGAGCCAGTTGTGGTATGGATGGTAAGATAACAAGTCTTTAAACACTGATTTATTTGCTTTCCCAATCATTTGCTGTTTTCTTAGGGAAAATATTTTCAGGATGACTTTAAAGAAAAGTCTTGTGGTAATAATTAACTCCTAGTACGTATGAAAAAATATGCAGACAGTTCCCTGGTGCAAAAGAGTTGCGTTGCTTATTCCTGATCCCTAGTGACAAACACTCTTCAATTTGGAAACAGCCTGACTTTGATTTCTCACCACCCTCTCATAAAAGTTCCCTTAGCTTTCAGGAGGAGCGTGGAAAGTGTAACAACGTGGACAAATCACTTTCAGCCGAGTGAAGCTATGACACTGTTTACAGCTCCCTGCTGGTGCTGTTCTGCTATCACATCCAGTGCTCGCTGCCCCGTATCTTCTGCTATACGTCACAACTTGATTTGACTCAGAGTACAAAGTAAACGTGTTAGTAATTCTCATCTTACTTAGTAAAACATCAGGTGCTAAAATTTTTCCTGCTTTACACGTGAGTGATCCTGAGAGAGTATCACTTAGAAACAAATACATTTTCTAGGGAAAACTGTACTTGCTCGAGTAAATCCTGCTAAATCAACAGACACAAGACGGAGTTTTAAATCTCTACTGCCCAAAGTCAGGAACCTGAGTCTAGTCAAGCATCAACACATCAGTGAATGTTAGATTTGCAAAGGTGCCTGTGGATTTTTGGATGTCTATTCACTTTTAAAAAAGTGTGCCTCTTCTGATATGCAGGCAGGAGCTAAGATTTGGGTGCTTGGCTTTGGTCTCAGTCACCCTAACTTACCCTTCTTCATGGGGCCAATCTTAGTTTACAAGACTCAAAATTTACAGAACTTCATCTTCTCTTAAAAGCTGCCCTGGCTGTGATGTCTGAGATCTCTGCAGCAGAGCAGCCTGCCATCACTTGAGCCTCTGTCCTGGAAACTGGCCTTGTTCCAGCAGCACTGGCAGCCACATGGGGCTGGCAACTGGCTCCCCAGGCCACTGGCTGATCCTGGGGCTATAAACTCTGTGCTGATCCCCAGAAAAACTGCAGTCTGAGTTCATCTGGTGATCAGGTTCCCTAGGCCAACAGTGCATGGCTTTAGATGTGCTTATGCAGGCATACCATGTATATGAGAGCTAATGTCCCCCTGCTCTCTCATACGTGCAGCTGAGACAGTACGCACACACCATGCCAGCTGAGTGAACTGCTCCAGGCTGACCAGCAGCCTGAAAGCGTGCATGTTTGCTGGTGGTGCGTGAGATAGATAGCCAAGCACAAGGGTTTGCTTGTTCAGGTGTTGCACACATTTTATTCAACATTTCTTTTCTTTTATTTTTTTTTTTAATCAATCAGCTGTGTTTTTCTGAGAAGCTGAGCCAAACCTGGTCTAATTCCCTTGTGCTTCATACTCAGATCCAAAGGTAGCAACCACATACAACTCATCTCTGGAAGAAAGAAATCTCTTCAGACTCCTTTGTGGCCAACTCCCCTGGTATTTTTGCCTTCCTTATCTACTGCCAGTGTGGCACTGGGAGGTATGTGGTGTGTCAAGGGACCATAGGAAGATGAGAAGCAAGTAGTAGGTGAGAAGGGGGGACAATTCCAGCACATCCCTTTTCGTGAGAGCTAGAGCAGTACAAAAGCCATTGGACTGTGACGAGCGCTGCTGTAGAAGACAAACGGTCTGTCCATGGACTTTGTGATGACAGAATAGCTACTCATTCCATTTCTATGTTGCCCCTGCTGTAGGTTATTCTCTGGCTAAAGCAACTAATACAAAAATTCCATGTTCTCCATTTAGTGCAATATTTCCTGAACTTTTGTTTGAAGCGATAGATAGGGAGGAGGGAAACACAAGGTTGGCAGAGAGGTTGCTAGCAGAACCCTGCCTCATGGTTTTCTGGCCCTGCAATGCATGCTGGAGGCTAAATGGTCCAAGAAAGCCTGCAACCCAGTATGGCAGAGCCATCAGTAATGGGAGAGCAGAGACCACTAAGGATGTACCAGCCTGGCCACCTGCACAGCTGAAGGTACACTGCCATAACACATGAGATAACACACAGCTTGTGTGAATGGGGGTACATGTGTGTATCTAACAGAGATACCCCCAAGGTGCTGCCTCCCATCTAGTGTCTGGCACTGGAGCCACAAGCAGTGCACTTATGTGAAAACACAAAAATCCCCAAATGTGTTGAGCACCACTCAGAAGCATCCCGATTGCTACTGCTATAGGAAGCATTTGCGCAGGCCAGACGTGTGGCTCCTGACCAACACAGTCTCCGTGCTTTCTCTCTCCCAACACACCAATTAAAAACCCACCCCCTCCCTTTACCCAGGCCTCAGCAGCTTATTAAACAAGCTGACTTTGTGCTGCAAACAAATTACAGCATCGGATCATCAGATAAAATGCGTATTACTGACAAGCGTGTTAATAAATCTGATAAGCCAAATTACCCCAGCTGGCAAGGCAGCCTATCTCCTACTTTGAAGGCAGATTTTACACCAGGGTGTGTGGGGAGATTTATCTTTTTTTTTTTGCTGGAATCTATTTTATTATGAACTAGCAGGTCAGTAACTCCATGTGTACAAACCAACCCCACACTGCATTCATTAGGTCAGGATAGCCTGTCTTTGCCCCACAGCAAGGTACTAATCTGCAGCTTTTATCTCTGTCCCTTTTTTGAAACCCTTCAGCCTGGGGAAAGCCTTTTTTGGGTTTCTGCACTGCTCGCAGCCACGTCAAGCCAAGGCTGCTCATATGATTTACTGGTAGGGCAGCTGGCCCTGCCTCCTACCTCTGAGGATTTTTGTGAGGCTCAGCCCTGTTCTTGGGACCTCTGCCTAAACATTCACACAGGTTACCTCCCAGGAGGATTTCTTTGGGAAAAATCAATCCATGGCCCTGCTTTAATTCGTCGTCGGCTATAAGCAGGTCATGTGGTGAGAAGGAGCGGAGGGGGCTGGGATACTTAAGCAACCTGGATGTACAAATCTCAGCACGATTTCTTCTGAGGCGAGCAAAAATCCCTCCGAGCTTTGTTGTTTTTCAGATCTGAATCTCGACGAAGCAGAAATCTCTGAAATTCATGCCCCAGAGCCACTGTCAGCTTCATAATGATCCTGCTTCCAGAAATGCTACAAAGCTGCTACCTCTCATACCTTAAAGCCAAACTCAAGGCAGCACCTCAAGCTTCAAGACCCAAAAACCAGGGGAACCCTTGGGTTAGCAACCAGAGAACAGAGTGCAGAACTTAATTGCTCCTGAGGCTGGAAAGGGAAAGCTGCAAAAGGTAAACCGAAGTGCTGAAGCAAGCATGTAACAGGAAACGAGTCAGCACTGGTAGCGATGATGAGTGCTGTGTGGGAGGGACTGTGCAATTACATTTTCTGTGCTGTGAGAACGAACATGAACTTACAAGCCTGGCAAAACACGAGTGATCAGAAGCAGGCTCCGCAGGCTGATCCCTCCCCAGAAAGTGGGGGACAAGGGACAGAACCGTGGGTCTAAACACCTCTCTCGCCCTCTGCCTGCACACCCCGCTTCCCCTTGCCCTTCCTCTTGACCTGGCTGTGCTCCTTCTCATGGAGCAGATGGCATCTCTGTAGGATTGTATCAGTGATCCCCCACTGGGACCCCGGGGGCTGGCTGTTGAGAGGCAAGAGTCCTTCCTTCTGTCTGCTCCCTGGCTGGCCTGGAGAATGGCAGGTAAAAAGCAAGAACAAAGCCCTGGATGTTACAGCTGCAGTACAGTCTGTCATGAACAAGAGACATCTGATTAGCTGGTGAGCTGGGAGCCAAGTCTCTACAAAAGAACTGGGGAGAGCCTGTAAGGAGGAAAAAAATCCCTGCTCGTTTCTAGGAAATCAAAATAAGAAGCATTGCTTGCTTTTAAGCAGGGCAGGAAGGAGAAATTTCTAAGTGTTAAGGAGGCAAAAATGATCTGAAAGTTTACAAACACATACTAGACCTCCCAGAATAGCTCTGACTTGTCTGGAAGGCATCAGAAAGACGCCTATTGTTTCATGTATGGTTGGAGTGGCACCGCTGCAAGTGCTGCCAGTGTAGGCAGTAGAAACATGGCCTGGAAAATAACTAACTCTGCTTTTTTTTTTTTTTATTAAGGCAATTTTAAATTTGTATCAGCTGCTACTGCTTAGAATAGTGTGGAGCACTTGGCACTCTCCACAAAAATGCCATGCGCTTGACCAAAACTCCTTGTAGCTGTGAACCGCATCAGTGTAAGGGTAGCAGAACTGCATGGGAAATCCTGTGTTGGACGTGATGGGAAGTTTCTCCCTGTCCTGTAGGATAGCAGGAGTTTTAAGTCTTGTCTTACAGGGCTGACATAAGCGTCATCACCGATACAAGGAAAGAAGCCTGAATGCCTGACACTTGGGTGGGTGGAGGAGAAAGATATAGATGTTGTAACAGCAACAGCCAAAAGAAGCAAGCCCCAGTGGTGCAGGCTGCAATACACTCCACCAGTGTAGCCTTTAAAATGGGCGTCACTTTCACAGGCATGTTTTTCCTCTTTGATTACTCACTTCCTCTAAAAGCAAGAGGAGCCAAATGCTCACTACAAGCCAAGAACTCACTCTTTTTTTTGGTACTATTTAATGGCAGCGTATAGCTGCTAGTCACACACTTTAAATCATTAGTGGCATGACCATCTCTTTCCTTCCTGATGATTGCTGAGAAATGGCAGTGCAGACAATGAACTGCTTTTTATTTACCTCTCATAAATCAGGAGCAGTCAGGCCTCCTTTGTTCAAACCAAAAAGAAAGTAAACCAGTCAGTAAAACGTTACCACCGGGCTAAGTAATACCCATACAGGTTCAGGAATCCTTCACTCTAGCCCCTGGGGCTCAAAGCATCCCCATCTGTTTCCTTTCAAAATATTTAATCAGAGACAAAAGTGACAGTGGGGGAAGGGAGTAGGCGATCAAGTAAGGCTGGAGAAAACCACCTCTTCCCCACGCTGACAATGAGCTCTGTACTAACACACTTAAGCCAAGAGAAGGAGGACTGCTGAGGAGAGAGCGACCAGAGGCTTTAATCTTCAGATTTTGTAAGGCAAAACATTTCCTTTCTCCCACAGGAGCTGCCAGTCTGGAGCACTCCCTGTCCCCCTCCCCTCTGCTGGCTCGGCTCTCCTCCCATGTCAAAATTCCCACTGAAGCAGTAGTCAGCTAGATAAACAGAGCAGTCCCCAGATGCATCCCCTCAGAGGCTGACGTAATAGGTCATGGGAAACAAGCAGAGGCAACCATTTCCTCCTGATACTGTGGTCTCCACCAAGCAGTGATCAAACTGAAGTTTAACTAAACAAACCAGGATTGAATCCCACTTGAAGAAAAATTCCAGTGGTGCGATAGAAGCCATGTTTCTCCCTCAGAAAGTTAAAGGTCCTAGGCTCACCCTGGCTGCCCAACTGGCGTGAAAGCCAGGTTAATTGCAATGAAATGTAAATTGAGAGTGTGCTCCTTGGTCAAAAATGCACCCCTCCCTAGAGGGGTCTTAAGCTACCCCTTAAGAAAGGGTCAAGAGAACATTAGCGAAAATATGAAAACCTTTCTACAAGATGCCTGTGATTACAGCTCTTGGTTCTCTTTTTTAAGGAATCCCGTAGCTCTGAAGGACTCACACCTGGCCCTTTGGTCAGGGAAATGAAGTACTGTCCATTGCTCTGAAGTATGGGAAGGATGGGTGACTTCTTCGTACTTGCACCATGAGATAAAGCCAGGCAAACATGATTCAGACCTCTGGATCATCAGCAATGCAGGTTAAAAGCCAAACTATTTCTTCCTTCCCAGCCACCTTGTCCATAACACAAGTGATTTCTGCCATGGAAGAAGGGCAGGAGACAATGACGACTACACTCCCTCTCCCTGCCAGTCCTGGTGTTACGCTTTTCTCATCCCAAAGCTTTTCCACCCAAAATCCAATACTTTTTATTGTCTTGAAAAATCTAAGCTTTTCCTCACCATGAGTCAGGCAGGTTTCCACAGCTTTCTAACATGTGAAGAGGGCAAAACTATTCTGAGAAATTTAAACCAGGAAGCAAACAGGTCATCAGAGGATTTCCTAGGTATCAGGAGCCTGAAGAGATCTGGACAGAAGTAGGTCACATACTTGTCTGTTAAGCCAAATAATTAGTCATGTCAAAATATACATTGGGTGGCTTCCAAAGAGAACAAAAGACATGGCAGTAAACCAGAGAGAAAGGGAGATAATACAAGACACTGTTTCGAAGCCATTTGCAGCTGGCTGCCTTGTTCAAGGATACTCTTCTTGTTTCACACAGGGGAAGGGCAAGCAGGCGGCTTTCTGCCTACCAGAGCTGTCAGACGCTCTTTTTACTCTGGAGAGAATGACACGAGGCTAGTTTTCTAGCAAGGAGCAATTCCCACCCTCAGGCTGAAATCAATAGTGGTTAATGCTCTGCATTAGTACCAACCAGAGGTTCTTCTAGGTCCCCCACTTCCCCCCAACCCCGATAATCAGGCCTTGCCATCCAAATGTGAAGCAGACAACTTTTAGGGTGGATGCAGCCTGTGGTCCACATCAGGGCAACTAGGTTCCGCTCACTAGGGGAGTGTGAATGGCATGAGAGCTGCTGCTCCCAGGCCAAGACAAAGCATGCTGGAAAATTTCTGGCTCCTTCTGTCTACACTTGAAAGTTACAGAAAGAGGTTAGCTCTTACCTAAGAGTTAATGGTAAAATCCATGCTGAAACAGGGACTTCTTGTCAATAGAAAAAACTCACAACAGGAAGGGGTAAATGCAGGTTATGAAGTATATAACCAACCTTTGCTTGCTGATGACATACAACAGGGTTTAATGGGACACTTCAAGGCTTTAGCACTGAAATGGATGGTATTTACCAACACATATTGAGCAAGCACTACCAATGTACTGCCAACAGAAAGAGAACAAAACTGCAGCTCTGCAGACTTGGACCAACATCTGACAACTAAGCATGACTTGCAAAGAATGACTAACTACAAAGAGCTTCTGTCATGGCTCAGTCTGAACACACACATGCTTTTTAAAAAGAGCTACAATACCCTTTGATACATTTTAGTAGTGTATCAGTGGTCGGCTGTGCCCAGCACTCTGTGTGGCACTAGAAAATGGCTTTCCTATTAAAGTAACTTGTTAAGTTCCCAGAGAAAACTGCTGAGAGAGACAGCTCCATTGCACAGACACACAATTCTTTGACCCATTTGAATAAAGAAAATAAGAACAGCACAGCAATGTTGACACCAGTCAGTAAATACTAGAAGGCACACTATGAAAGAAATAACTTACACAGGCTTTTTTTTTTTCCAAAGGCTGGTAAATAACATTTCCTCTTTGCTATCCACCATGAGGATCTTGTCTTTACTGTCACTTCACCCACCTGTGCTCTCACTCATCATCTCTGTTTCTTTTCGGTCAGTTTTCAAAGGAAAGACAACTAAATAAGATGTTCTCTTTAAGACATTCATTCAGCAGTGAAGTTCTGAGCTAGGAGTCAGTATGAGTTCAGGATTTACTGAAAGCAACCCCAAAGCATGTGAGAGAGAGCTTTCTAAAGCCATGTTCCTCTCTTCCCCTGCACTGACACTCAGTGCTGTGCCTGCCTCTGTATCTACCTTGTCTGGCTGTATATTCATTGTCTTCAATCAGCCTTGCCAATCCAAAATCAGCAATCTTGCATATTAGGCCATTCCCCACCAGAATGTTTGCAGAGCGCAGATCTCTGTGTATGTAATTCATTCGCTCGATGTACGCCATTCCTGC